ATTAGAATTATATTCAATTCTATAATATCCTAAAATATTAGGATGTTACCACACATTCCCTTAAATGTAGAGATAAAGTTACAAGGAAGAAATTTTTTTTTTTTTTTCAAAATTTTTTGGGGATTGAGATGTTAGACACTTATGTGGATATAAGCCTGGTATTTTAAAAATAAAAATTCAAAAAAATATCTATAAAATTCTAAAAGTAAAGAATCTGATTTGTAATATATATTTTTTTTAATATTTTTACATTATAGTAAATATTAAAAAATATTTTAGTCATTAATACTCACTTTTAAAGTCCATTTTTTCATTAATTTTCAATTTCATATGAATGTATTTTGTTTTAATCATTTTTTGTATGTTTTTCATATTTCAGTAGATTTTTATTTACATATATTTTATTTTTTTCATCAATTTTTTGGCTATCTAAGATTTGTATTTTGTTTTAATCATTCTTTATATGCTTTATCTATTTTAGTAGATTTTTATTTACATTTTTTTTATTTTTTTCAATAATATTTGACCACCTAAAATTTATCCAGTTAAACTGTTTAATCTGACGGTTTACCGGTTAAGCCGGTTAAATCACTTCGGGCCCACGTCTACTTAACCGTGCGAACGCTGCTTAACTCAAAATAATTACGTGCTTATATCTTACGCGTCAGCCCGGCGACGTGCTGCCACCATTTAAAATACGACACGTGGCGTGCAACAAGTCGCCCGTTACGCGGAAGCACGACACTTTCACCGTACGCGGAACGGCCACTTATTTTTTTTGTTCAGATTACGATCAAAAGATACTCATATCCCTATAAAATGACCTAGAGTATTTTGTAATTTTCATTTATACCCCTTCCAAACTACCCATTTGTCCATTTTGAATTTGTTTTATAAAAATAGCCTCAATAGGTGGCAATTGGGACCCGTGGATTGGGGATCTGACGGGTAGACCTAACCCCGGGTCTGGGTATGGTCCAGAGGTTGGACCCCACAGGTCGGGTCTAAGTCTAATAGCTTGGACCCAATTTGAGTTTGGGTTCAGGTCTTGTTCTAAGTCTCGATCTATGCCTTGCTTCGAGTTTAGGTCTCCTTCTAAGTCTGGATTTGCACCTCGGTTTGAGTTCAAGTCTAAATCTTTTTTGTTTTCTAAATTAAATACATGTAAAAATTATTTCAAGTGAGTCCTAGATCCTCCATAATCAATTTGGGTACGGGTCCGAGCCCGGACCATTGCCACCCCTACAGTGTCTTTAGTCTTCTTGCCTTATCCCCAGGCGAGGAAGAATCACAGTACCTCTCTCTGTACTTAGGCAATCCAACGGCGAGGTAGGAAGCATTTGGCTCTTGGTGAGAAAAGAAAGATTTTTAAAATAAGCAAGCGAGAACATAGTATCATTTACTCACTCAGTTAGAAGACTTACCACGAGGGTTTTTTTTTTCTGAAAATTTTAAGAATCACCTTCGAAGATAATTCTTTTAAGAAAGAAATTCGAATGAGGAGCTTTCTAGCTCATCCCAAAAGTTGAATGGCCTCTATTCCATCTTTGAGAGTTGAGATATTATTGTTTTCAATCCCATGTAGAGTGCAATTTAGGATTGAAGATGGTCTATCCTGTAGGTTGGGTTCCACTCGAGGGAATAAATGAACAATATGTTCTTACCGGAGTACATAATCTTTTGGCTTTTGAAATTAGCATCCAAATCCATTACATTTCCTTTCCTCTTCTACAAGTTAAAATTTTACTTTACAATATTATTGTAGTACTTTTAAAAATAAAAATAAAAAGTATGTTTGTTTGTTCATGCTTATTAATAATTTTCAAGGTCTAAATTGTTGATCTCCCTCACCCAAATCGTTATATTCATTACTCCCTATTTGTGATTGAAACATATTTTAGCCATGGCATACGAGTTTCCATCCACCGAATTTCCCTTTTTTCTTTCACATTACTAAAAGGGAAAAGTTTATATAAGGTTGCAACCTTAAAAATGTAGAACTACGGATGTATCTCAAAAATCCCTCAGTAAAGGTTGTTTTAATGTTGAAAAACCCTCTAATTGATTATCGCGACATCGAGAACCATGATCATGAAAAAAAAAGATTTTGAGCCCCAGAAACGGTGCATCTTACAACACATTATCTAGACCGTCCATTTTCAAGAGTTTCACATGTTTATAGATGTACTTGATTTTCATCATTTTTGGAGTTTAAAATTCTATAATTAGATTTGAAAATAGATTTTGAAATAATCTTAATAATATTTTAAATCAAAATTATATGTTATGATAAAATTTGAAGGCACACCTTAAATGGATTGTTTAAGGTTGCAACCTTATGGAAACCACACCCTTACTAACAAAGGATCCGAATCTCCTTCAAAAGATGTAATTTTGGTACATAAAATATATATGATGGTTTGAAATTCTATTTTCAGCTCTAATTATAAAATTTAAAGCTCCAAGGATAATACAAATAAAATAAATTTATAAATACCAAGGCTCTAGAAAACGAAACGGTGATCCACATCGCCAATCTAGATTTTTGATCTGGTTTAGCGGATCACTAATTCAGATTACTGAATCTATTACTAAATAAAAAATAAAAAATAATAATAATAATAAATGGGGCTAGTTCTGACCAAAAAATGTTTGGCCCTGAATACGATTCCCAATTCAGATTTGTATTTTTTCTAAACCTTGATAAGTACTTAAGAATATTAAAAATAGATAATCCTAATATGCTACAATATCAATATTTTATAGTCTTAGAAATCCTGTTTTAACATGGAAGTTCACATAAGTCGAAGAAATTTTTTTTGACCTGGTTTCTATGCGACCAAGCCCGCATATGTAGAAATGAGGGCCTATTAATAATCTATTTCTGAGATGGATTTTTGGATTTAATTTTTAAGGACATATAATCTCTAACATGAAGATCACGAATATGAAGAAATAAGTAAATTTTAAAGATTAAAAATAATAATTATAGTAAGAAAACATTTGGACCATTAGTTTCCATTGTTTTTAGATGGAACACCTAATTGCATCCATCTTTTAAGATGGATGCTTTACACTTTTTGGACCGTATATGTAATCGTACGGTCCAGCTCGGATGAAACACATTTTTTTTTTTTCTTTTTTTAGTGTTACGTGCATAGTTAGCAAATCGCCGTTTAATCGGTGATTTTTTCAAAAAATAGGTGTTTTTATCGAAACAGTTTTAAACGGTGACTTTTTGAAAAGGTTGGAAAAAATCGCATAGTTTTCATAAAAACGTATAAAACACGCTTTTTTCATAATACGATTTAAATTAGGCCAAAAAATCGTATATTTTTTTACTTGTAATTTTTTTTTAAAGCTTTGTTTTTTTTTTTTTCCCTGTTTTGTGTTTGCAGCCATTGCTACTTTCATGCTTTTGAAAAAAAATATTATTTTAAAAAAGCCTAGAATAGAAATTGTGTTTGCAGCCATTGCTACTTTCATGCTTTTGAAAAACAATATTATTTTAAAAAAGCCTAGAATAGAAATTTTTATCCCCACTATGTTCTTCAAATCCACAATTACAAATTGAAGGTACGATTTTTTATTTTTTATTTTTTATTTTTTTTAACTTAAATAAATAGATGGACATTTTAGTTGTTATTATGGAAAATCATTGTGTAAATGAAATACTGTTTATAACAAATCATTGTGTAAAGAAAATCATATACATGCATATTTATGTGATTATTTGTGATAATTCTTTTTGTGAAAATATTGTTTATGGCAACAAATTGGAACTCAAAACATAGTCGTTTACTGATGAATGAGAAGCAAATGTTTTGACTACAGGACCAAGTAACCAATATTTTGTTTTTGATTATGTGATAATAAAGATAAACAATATAGTGTAAACTCTAAACTTACAGGAGCAAGCAATTGTATATATATGATTAGTTCTCCAAACCTAATCCTTCAACTCTGGTTGCTGTTTCTTCAAGAAAATAGCAAACCCTCCTCTTTTTCTCTCTCTAAAAATGAGTTGTGGCCTATTCACAAATCAATATAGTTAGGGCTTTCAATCAAATAACATCTTAAATCCGAGAGAAAAACCCCCTCCAAACTATCCCAAATTAGCATCTTATCTTCTTTTTCTCTCTCTAAATATTAGTTAGGGCGCCTTCCATTAGGGTTTGCTTCGTCATTCTTCTCTCCATAGACCCTAATGGCTATGAGCCCAGCTCTTCTCTTCCTTCTTCCGTCTTCTCTCTCTAAAAAGTAAACATAGACGTGAAACCCAAATTTCAATTAAAAAAATTTATCAATAGTTATGGAGTCACCATACTATATAGTTAAAACAATGTAATGAGAAAACAAAAATTGTGTATTTTTTTTTGGTATGTGCTAAGTAGGTGTGATGTTTAAATATTTAATAAACAAATTTATATAGTATATTTGTCACCATACCATAGTAAAAATATTTAATGAATAAATTTATATAGTATATTTGTTTTTGGTATGTAACCAATAGGTGTGATGTTCTCAAAGTATTTAATGGGTAGACTTATATGGTACATTTTTTTTGGTATATAGTAGTTAATTATGTATTTAATATTGGATGATTGAATTAGAGTCACAAAACATCTAAACTAATTAACTTAATTATATTAGTCAAATAAATTTTTTATAGATGAATTAGTAATTGATGGCTTTGACATAATTTTTTCTTTTTAAAATTTTAAATTTTCTAATATTATAAATTTATCTGATTTTTTTACTACAATTTTTTGAGCTTAATCCGATTTATCAATGATATCTATATATAAAGTATTTTGGCCAATTTGTATTTTGTACTCGATTTTTCCATCCACCTTTTAAAAATAAAAATGATTTGTTACCGATTTTATGATGAGCCTGATTTTATTGATAGTCATCGACTTGTTAACTCGGGTTAAGAACCTAATACAAAATGGGGACAGTCTTGTAATATTCGTCAAAGTTGATGGCTATCTCTTTACCGCACTCTTTATATTTCTCCCTTCCCCGTTTCTTGTCAAAAGACAGAAGCGCCCAGATCGCTCAAGCCCCTCTGCTTCCTGTCTGCAATTTGCCCGACGCCAATATGGTAATTTCTTTGGGCCTTCTTTGATCAAATTCCAATCTCCATAATCTGTTCTCTCAGTTGTATGATTTTTATGGATGGATCTGTTTTTCTCTACATCTCGTCTCTTTTTGGGACATTTTTCTCTGATTCATGTTGTTAAATTTCATGGGGTCTCTTTTTCTTTAGTTTCTTTCCTTTTCTGTTTAGATTAGGGTGGATTTCACTTGATCTAGCGTGTTCTGTGTTGTACGAGTTCATATATCTCATGAATCTCTCGAGCTTTTTTGGCTTCTTTATTTTATATTTTTTTCGTCATTGAGTTTTTATTTTGTGCCTATCTTCTGAATTTAGGGTTTTCTATTTGGATTAATTTTCTTCTTAGGGAGATCTTTGTGGTGAATTTTGCGGTCCATCACCTTTGCATAAATTTAATTGGCATTTATTTCGAAGATGGAACTTTGCTTCATTGTCTGCCTTGATGATCTGGTTCTCGTGGAATTTTGATCAAAGAACTCATTTTGGGATCTGTTCTATGATTATGGTCTTTTATTTGGTTGATCTTGTTCTGATACATTAGATCTATTCTTGTTATTCTTATTTCTTTTATATTCTGCTCCTATTGATTGCTTAGCTCCTTCGGGATTCAGCTGCTTTTCGAAAATCATTTTAGTGATCTTGCTAAGTTTACTCAATATCGTTGCAGAGATTTTTATGTAGCTCGGTCTCCGTCTCTCATGAAGAGATTTTCAGTAATTAGATTAAATATTATGTTTAAATTTAGTTGTAAATGAAAAATTTCCCCTACCAAAAATATATAAATATAATGAAAATAAAAAAAATTAATTGATGAATAGCATTTTATAGAATGAAAGTTGATAGGAATTCTAAAAAAGGTTTTAGCTAGAAATTTAGGAATGAGTACTATCTTAAAAATGATTAATCTCTAAGTTTTAAGAAACATGAGGAAGTTTTAAGGATATGGTTTTAAATAACCGGATTTTCCATTGAAAGAAATTAGGACTTTGTTGATTTCTGTCTAAATGGAGCACATTGTGATGAACACAACCAGATTTTATCACAGAGCAGAGTTGATAGCAGCTAAAAAAAGAACCAGCGAAATGGATATATGCCTAAGAAGAACAATTTCTGCCCAGCAATATCTTTTTTGTTTTAGCAAACGAGAGAAATTTCTGGCGAAGAAATCGAGTTTTAAGGCAAAGAATGGCTATTTCCACAGCCAAAAATACCTGATTTCCCAGCAATTCAGGTCGTTTCCAGCCAAAAACCAAGTTATAGGTTTATTTTCATTTCTCCTTTTTTTGGCATTGTTACCAAATTTCCCAGCAATTCAGAAAATTTCCAGCAAAAACCAAGTTAAGATTTATTTTCATTTCTCCATTATTTTTGGAAATGTTTTGAAACTTGGCTTGGGCCTCTGACTCAGCCCTATCCCGAGCCGAGTTACTCATGCGAGTACATTCCTAAAAATGCTATAAATTTGGAAAAAAACCAAAATAAAAAATTGAAAATAAAAAATAACAAAAACCAAATTGAACCATAAAGAGCAATAAAGTTCTAAAAATTATGAAAAAAAATATAAAAGATGGAATTTGGAAAAAATTATTTATAACTGGAAATAATTCAAAAAATTCCGATAAAAGGAAAATATGAAAATAGAGTAAATGATCAAAGAAATTTTCATAAATCATCATCAAAACTTAACATTTTTATACATTGATTTACTAAAGAAAAATAATTCTTATGAATTTATTTTAATTTTGTTTAGTTTACTGAGTTTGTACACTAGTAATAGGCCCGGCAAGGTGCCAAGTTCATGTTACTCATCCAAGAGCTGACTCGTCCGAGTCCTTGAACATTGAATATTGGCCAAAAACTAGGAAGCACCAGTTATTTATATTATTGTTTTTGCTTTGTTTCCATTTCCATTATTACCTAGAATAAGCTTTTCAATGGTAGGTGAGCCCTTTCCCCCTCCCTTTTGGTTTCCCAATAGCCGACATTGCATTTTCTTGCAAATGAAATAGAAAATTCATAGTTTATCAGCCATTCTATTTTTGTGTTTTATTTGCTGGAAAATATCTATTGCAAATGCAATAGAAATTTCAAATTTCATGGCCCAAATTCTATAGGTATGACTTTGCTGGAAAACCACCCATCATGAGAGAAATTCAGTTTTGTTTGTTCTTCTTTAATTGTTTTCGTTGGATTTTATTTGGCCCATCCCACTCCAGATAGGGCTAGCGCCAGGCTTGGTCTGCGACAGCCCTCGGCCGGCCCTACAGGAGTAGGGCCTGGCTGGGGCTAGGGTTTGCCCGGCCCAGTCCTGGCGTGCATTGCCAGCCCTATCCAAACTGTGATGTTCTATTCCTTATGAAGTTTTGAATGGTAATGTATGCGAGATCTTCAAACTGTTGTGTTCTATTCCTTATGAAGTTTGAAAATCTGGAATCTTATTCAATAAGATAAAGGAGAAAAAGAATGCCCTGCCTAAATTTTGGTTCAGTTGCCTACCTAATTATTAACTAATTTGACTGTGAAACTTATGCTGTTATTGCTGTGTCTGTAAGAACAAACGAGTTTGTAGAGTCAGCAATTGTGATGATTGAACATTAAATATTAGTAAATATTTCTGGAAATTATGCAAGCCTTGTGGGATTTTTATTGAAAACTTATGCAAGAATCTTAAGCTTGATGTTGATTTATGCCATGTGAAGTTGAAATTCCTGAAGTTCCATCAAGTCCAAAATATAAAGAAAAGAGCAATCCCTTCTCTTTAAGTATACTTATAGTCCGGTTGTCATCTTTGCAGACAACTTCAAGGCGCCTTGCGGATAGGAAGAGTGCAAAGTTTCAGAGCAACATCACCAAGAGAGGGGCTATTCCCGAAACAAGTTCGAAGAAAGGGAAGGACTATCCCGTGACGCCCTTTGTGCTCGGCTTCTTCATATTCGTTGTGATCGGATCATGTTAGCTCTCACTTATTTATGTCCATGACTTTCACTTCAATATTTCTGAATCTTAGTCAATGAAGCATATTAATCATGTCTTGGTTGATTTGAGGAAGTGGTAATATAATTTGGAGACACCGTGATTAAATACACTAAATTTCTTTCCAAACAGCTAAAGAATACGACAATCATATTATGTAACTACTAGACTATATAAAAGATAAAAGAATCAGGACAACTATAATAAGTAACTCTAAATTTAAGGAAGGCATTATACTACAGGATAAATGCAATACAATGCAATGATGTCGAAACAAAATGAAGATGACATAAGCGTGCAAATCAGAAAGGAAAAGCAAATAGTTATAGAATGAAAGTTTTTTTTTTTTTGGATAGAAAGTGAAAGTTAGTATGTTAATATTTGAATTAGGGTAGTGTGTGTTTGTTTGAATGTGCATGTCTAGATTCATTCTAATGAACAGTATGCATTTGCAAGAGACATTTGAACAAAAGAAAACGGACTCACGGCCAAACAAACATGGCATAAGCAAACAAAATGTTTAGTATTGGGTTTATGTCTAAACAAGGAAAATTATAACAACTATGAGCATGGAGGAATTATAGGATGAATAATGACATGAGAAAGAAATTCGCACAAATCCCCCCTTCTTGTGGGTTGTTTTCTGTATAGAGTGCCGAGTCTGTGGGATGTCTAAACTCGTGTAATCTTATTTCCTTCTTGTCTTAACACAAATGCTAACAGTTTCACCAAAAAAAGGAAAGTAAATACGACATACAGAAAACTCATGGAAAACAATAATGTGCACACCATACAAGTGTTTTGGAAAGAAAATACCTCATGCACATAAAAAGAAAAAAAAATGGTAAATAGAAACCGAAGAGTATATTAAAGTATATCAACTTGGTTATTGATAAGTTAAAAATACATCATTATAAGGGAAAAAATGGCCATAAATCTAAAGATGAGCATGGAGACTATGAAAAAGAAGGATTTCAACCTATGTACGGTAGAGTTACTGGTCGTATACTTATCAAGTCACTATGGTTATATGCTTAATGATTCATTATGTTATAGCTGTTATATCCATGCTTAACTGTAAGTTTGCTTATTCTTAAAATTGAGTAGAATGAAACAAAAGCATATGTGCATTGTTTTTATTTATAGGACACAAGAAGTATCAATTTCTCATGTATCGAATGATTGACAGGGGGCTTGGGTACCCCTTTGGGGGGTCTCACTCGACTGTATACTTGGATACCATTAATACAACTATAGTTAACTCTTCTAAAAAATGATTGACAGGGGGGCCTTTATCGAAGATTTATAAAAATAAAGGCTATTGGAAAATTTTCTAAAAATTGAAGTAAAAGCCTCCTCCCCCGGTCAATCATTTGATAAACAAGAGAAATGAGCAAATGATATGATATTTGATGATGGCATCATAGTCCTACATCTTTTGCCAGGAGAGTAAGTTTGTGATTCTTATGGTAGTTTGTGGTAGTTCCGCTGTAGAATTCGAAAATTGGAACATAGTCTTGCAAATTTTAACATTTTAACCAATCAAGCCCAAGCCGAATCCTCGTGACACCATTGTCCCTTTTTTTTTGGGTAAATAACACCACTGTCCTTCCTTGTAATGTCGTTTACCCAAGGTTTGCGGTATGCCATACACCGCTCGTCATTTGCATATGTATAGTTCCCCAACTACAGTATGGTAAAATACAGTCTAAATGGACTTTGTACCATAAGACTAGTCACCTTTGATGCAAGAAGGTGCAATCACTTGTAGTCATCAAATGTGGATTCAAGCAGTTAGGGGTGTTTAACAATGTTCAGTAAATAATTTTTCAGGACTTTGAGTGCAGTTAATAGCACATCCCCAACAGTCGAACTTTAAAATTTATGGCTAAGGGTTATTGTGACTACTTATACCAAAGACTAAAAGGTCTTATTGCATACTTTTCCTAAACTAAAAGCAATCCTCCAATATTATTTTTACTACAAAAAGGGGGAGAAATGCCGGATAGATGGTATTGCTAGGTTACAGTTTTCCCTGCCACAACAATTTGGTTAGCAGATCTAACCAAAAGAAGGTGCACAAACTAGAATCAATCTTTTATGCCAAAATTTTGTCCTTGAGAAGTTTTTAAAGAACTCTCCATACTTACACTCTCACCTATCAAAAAGAACTCTGTACCCCCACTAGCCCTTAGGGCCTTAGTTTTTGGAGCCTTCTATTTTCGGGGATCTTACTCTCTGGGCTGATCCAACCTTGGTGGTCTCAAACTCTATGCTTCCTCTACCACTTGGGACCATATCTTTAGGACCTTTATATTTTTGGTGATATTATCTCAGTATTTATCCTGTCTTGGTGATTACTAGGCTCTATGTATCACATTGATGTTCCTGGCTTTTCTAACTTTGATCCTTTGATCTTATCATATTTGGAAAAATTTAAATGCTCACTCATATGGCTATTGTTCATTCCTATCTCCTCTTGGGGAAAAAACCAAATCCCTGATTTCCCCACCAATTGCATCAGCCTGGTACATTGCAAATGCTTTGAGCTTCTAACAATTCCTTTTTTAGTATAACTCTCTTTTTCTTAAATTTTTACCCTTGCACTTTTTTTTTTGAGAATGTACTCTTGCATTTGTTAAATACTTAAATGTGCTCTGATGGCTCCTAAATCATTTGAGTCTGTGGTCTGTTAGATTGTATCATAATTGTGGTCTGCTTAGATTGAATCATAATTGGCTGATCGGTGTCTTTGCATTGGGTTTTTTTTTGCAGCATTGTTTCAGATCATAAGAACAGCTACGAGCGGTGGCATGGCTTGAATCTAGATGTTGAAGGGTGTAGCGTAGTTGGAGGGTGGTGAAGAACTTGGGGTAGCATGAATTTAATTTGTCAGCTGTGGATATGGTAGTTCTTGAATTTTGATGGAACTGAGATCATAAATAAAATGGCAGTCTTGTGAACTGCCATGCTATTCTTGGTTTAAGAATCTCTCTCTCTCTCACACACACACAAACACAAACAAATGAATAAAAATAAGAAAAAGATTCTTCATTCAGGCAGAGCGATAAATGTTTGTAGCAGTGTCTTGTTCGCCTGCTTTTATTCAGGAGCCAAATATATTCAAATTGCAAATAATCAGATATACTGCATTTTCTGAAGTATCCAACATCAAGCTTTAACACATCCACTTCACTTCATGACCAGCTTATTCATCTTTCAAACCCACACAACAAATCTCTCTCTCTAAGGATTAAACGCAGTGCAAGCCTTTCTCATTTGTCCCACACAACAAATCTCTCTCTCTCTCTCTAAGAATTAAAAACAGTGCAATCCTTTCTCACTTGTCCCTGGCTCCCCGTCTTCACCCCGACTCTCCCGAGCTTTATCATTGCAGCTGCAAACGCTGATGAGAAATCCAATGGGTTTGCTGCAAAATCTCTCACTACCCCACTCGTTCTTGCATCTGTGAACAGGACCTCATCTGATGTAAACAAGCCCTTCCCATTTATCAAATTCTGATAATAAACATTGTCAAAAATTCTTGGTGTGATTGGATCCATATTGATAGCTATTGTAGGGTCCACATTTTGAGGGCAACTCTGCATCAGTTGTTGAACGTAGGTAGGGTTTAGGGTGGGATCAACACGAGAGGTGGAGCTAAAATTGTAGATGCGGTTGGCAAAGCGGCTACAATGCGAGAAACCGACTGTGTGGGCACCAGAGAGGGCAATCATATCTGTTTGGTTGAGACCGTTCTTTTGAAAGATTGCATTAAGTTGGTTGACGTCGAATGTGGGATCAGGAAGGTTTCCGGCAACTAGGGATGCTTTAGATTGTAGGTTGTCGCGACGGCCAAGTTCAACATTGAACATGGGGCCACCAGCCTGACAATGCAGAGGGTTAGCCAAACTGAAACTCTTGCATATGCTTTTTCGCAGGTTTAAGATATCTCAAATCAAAAAAACATGGAATTTTATTTCTTGACTCGGATTGGAGTGGTTGGGTTCTGTCCAAAGGACTTGGACCCCAACCAGGTCCAGGGTCCAGGTCAGGTTCGGGTTGCCACCCGTAGCCGGCATACTTCCATGCCCGTGTAGGCAAACCCAAAATGACCAAAATACCCTCCCTTAGAAATGGCAAGAATACTTCACACCTAGACTAAAGTGCCCCTCCAAGGAAGAAAGAAAAGGGTAAATTGAATACCAGTACTACCACGTCCCTCGCAGCAATGGCCATGATATCAGCGCAGGAGACAACGTTAGGGCACAAGGCCTCGACTGCCGCCTTGGCCTTCACGATGGTGTCGAAACCATCTCCTGCAAGAGACAAGTTGTCCGACGCATCCTTCTCGGCATCTCTATTTGGAGATGAGATCATAACTGAAGCATCACACCCCTGCCAAGCCCAAGAAAAGTAAAATCAGAAATGTCACCAAATGTGCTGGTTCTGTGATGGTTGATTTCCTAAGATGATCATGACAATGATGGTACCACTCATAGACACTGGGCCCAATCACTTTTTCGATAAATACGAGTTTTGATACTATAACGAGCTCAAGGAGACTCATTACCTTTGCTACTAGGTTGGACTCAAGCCAAACTGTCAACTGTGAAGTCAGACAGCGAAGGGTGTCAAATGTGAAATCAAACAACTGGGGGTATACCATTGATTATGAACTCCAATAAACTTTGTCAGACTTCCTAGAGAGAAATGATATACCTCCACCATTTGATTCCATATCGACAGTTTGGGGTGCTTGTGACCATCATGTACAAGTGTTAAGGGAGTCATCACATACAATCTCATGAGATTATGCATAAAGCGGACATTTACTGTCCACTCCGAATGATTGGGGTTACAGATTAACCTCTATTCTAAGCAAAAAAAATACAAAAAAACATCACGTGGGAATGGCTCGTCATCCCTATTTTTCATTAGGAATTGACGATCGATATCCCACGGTGGGCGTACCATGTACTTTAGACTACTGGTGTATAGTACATGTTACCCTTCACAAAGCAAGAAAGATGGAGCTCGATATCAAATGAAGGGGACACAGGTACTCAGGTCATTTTCCCTTCAGATGGAGGCGAGGCAAGCTAGGCTTGGTTCTCACTACAAGTATACATAACTTTTGAAAGTACCCAAAGTTACCCCTGTTCCATATGAGGATCATATAAACTTATTTTTGAAATGACCAAACTAATGAATCAGACACCCAAGGCATGGGGTTGAGGTCAAGGTGTTCGCGCACCACCTATGACTCAGCTACCGGTTTCGGTTTCCGCTCCCACCAATGCTAATCCTTTTCGAAAACTACTGACGATTTCAAAAATTGCTAACCCACTATTGACACAGTTAATATTCAAAAAAAGGAATCAGACACCCACTCACTCCGTCCTTTAAAAGACATGAAAAGGTGCCAATAGGCCCTTGAGAAGATGACCAACATGCTCCCATTGCACAATAACCATCTAAGAGCCATGAAAAAATCCTGATCACTAGCTCATTTAGTTACCGTGACGAAGCAGTCGTGGAAGAAGAGTCGAAGAGTGGACGGGACGGTGACGAAAGTCTGGTTCAGCTTCATAATCACGACCTGCCTCACGGTCGCCTCAAGAGTTTGGCATCTCAAACCATAGAAATTCTCGACTAGTTGTGCATCCGAAGCGACGAACACAATCACCAAAATGCCCAAGAACACTCCTGCTCTCCATACCTTCATCTCTCCCTCCGTCTCTCTCTCTTCTCTCCCTATCTCTCTGTGAGGGGATCCCAACATAGAAGAAACTGATGGGTTCCATATTTAATGTGGAGCTTCACAATACCAAGTCTAAGTCTCATGTATGAGCTTCCCCAGCAAGTAACCATCAATTGTTTAGTGGTTTTGGCATGGAAGTGACCATTCAATAGTTTGTTATCGCCAAAGTCCACACCTCCTGCCTCTTTACAACTAATAAACACACATGTTTGGAATTTTTAATTCAATCACCTCTTCTTTAGAAAAACCCAAATCTCTCTCTCTAGAAATTCAAATCTCTCTCTCTCTCTCTCTCTCTCTCTCTCTCTATCTCTCTCATATGAGGAGTTTGTCATGGTAGGAACTGTTTGTTGAAATTGTTGGAAAGTTCCTCTACAAGTTGGAACTTTCCACATGCAATATGAAAACGACCCCACAACCGATCTCAATATTGGGTTATTACTCACTCTCTTCTTTCTTTTTTTTCTTTTTTTTTATTTAATCAAGTTAACATTGTATTAAAGATAAAGAAGAACAAATAGCGATAAGAGAGGACACACAGGTTATTGCTCACTCTTTCCTACTGTGGAGATTTTCTCTTTCTTGTTTATAATTACACAATGTATTGCAAACAAAAAAGAGAGATAAAAAAAGAATTGAATTTTGGAAAATATCATTTTTGGATGAACGCCCTTCCAGACTTAATGAGAGTTAAATCTATTTAATATTTCTGGTTTATTTCATTTTCTTCCTCCTCACTATTTTTTTATCTTCATGTGGGTGTTTGACTATGTAAACCAATTGGCACTCTTTGTTTCTCTCACTGGAACTTGGTAAAAAGCACCTCTCCTTCAGCCCAATAAACAAACCTTTGTCCTCGTTGAAACCTTAATGACTTGGTCAAAGAATATGTCAAAAGATATTCTACTCCCTCGGGAGTATATTATGACTTGGAAGAATATGTCAAAAGATATTCTACTCCCTCGGGAGTATATTGTTCATTTACTCCCCCAGGGAAAACCCCATCGGACCCCAAATTTTGAGGAGACAATCTCTTTAACGTGTACATTAACCTCAATAAAAAAACTTTCCTGTTTGCACCCTCTAAACACTTAAAAAGAATAATTTTCAAGATTGAATAGAAAGCGTCCAATTTTTTGAGGGCGAGATCTAAGTAGTAGAAGATTTAATTTTTATTTTTATTTTTTTTTGAAAAATAATCATCCAATGATTCCAAAGTGGTTGCCAAAATTTCAAATTGAAAAAAAAACCTCCCAAGGAAAGGAGTAAGAGTAAACTATGCTCCCGAGGAAACATAACATACGTGGTCAATAATACAGATGTGGAATGCACCCATCCACACGTGCATATATGGATGCAACTTGATTAATAGAAAGCTATAATCAATTGTTGAAAACGAGTTCAGATAAATCTTGTGTTGTGACATGGTATCTGCTCTAGAAATAAAAATATGATGGGACATCACCACTAGGATTAGGATAATGTATACTAACATGAACGGCTTGGATTGAAGATAATCAAATAGAGCCATGAGATGGGCCCAAGAATCCCTAGATAATTGAGAGTTGACATTAGTGGCAGGAGATGAACCTGGAATGAAAATCAAGCCACATTGGTGTGTGTGTGTGTTTGAGAGAGAGACCAATCAGGGTGGATTACAACTAAGAAATAAGTGTATGTTGGCCTTGTTTGGACACTTTGGGATACTCATACTTACATGCCTTCACAGGCAGCCATGAATTCTATGTGCTTTAAAACCGCAGATCTTTCACCACAAATCCGTGTTAGTCGCTAGATCGGTGGTCCTGATCAGGTATGGAACAGTCCGAATCGGCAATCCAGAAAAGGGTTAAAAATAAATAAAATAAAATAGAAATGACAATAGGGGTATTATGTGATGGGAATTTAAAGAGATCTAAGAAAACATTAAACAAGCTGAAAAAAGAAAGGAGGGATATAAGAGGCAGTTTTATAGGGGAATAGGGCCGGGGCCCATACCACCCCAGAACCAATACGATCTCGAGTGATTCTCCTTGGTAATCGCCATGTTTTAAAAACATTGGGCACGCTTAATGCCCACAATGTCATATTTTAATTTTTAGAGAGAGAAACTACATCAAATCTTAAGTTTTAGATAGAAAAAATATTCTTAAAATTATAGAGAGATAAATTATTCTTATACTTTAAGAGAGAAATTATTATAAATTTTAGAAAGAGAAACTGCAAAAAAAAAAAAATAATAGAGAAAGAAATATCTTGTTTCTTAGAGAGAGAAACTATCTAGAATTTTGAATTTTAGAGAGAAACTATCTCCAATTTGGATATTTAGAGAGAGAAAATATATTAAAATTTTAAAGACAAAAATTATATCAAATTTTAGAGATAAACTACCTAAAAAAATTTAGAGATAGAAACTATCTCAAAACTATCACAAAATTTATGTTTTAGAGAGAGAAAGTATTTTAAAATTTTAGAAAGATAAACTATATCAAATTTTAGATAGCGTTAGTACATGTAATTTTTAGAGAAAGAAACTATCTCAAAAAAAGTTAGAGACAAACTATATCAAAATTTAAGTTTTAGAGAGAGAAAGCATCTCAAATTTTAAACTTTAGAGAGAGAAAGTATATCAAATTTTAGAGAGACACTATCAAATTTTAAAGAGAAACTATTTCAAAAATTTTAGAGAGGAGAACTATCTCAAGTTTTAAGTTTTAGAGAGAGAGAGAGTATCTTAAAATTTTAAAAAGGGAAACTATATTAAATTTAGAGAGAGTAAAGCACCTAAAAATTTTAAAGAGATAAATTAACTCAAAATTTTTAGATAGACAATTTCAAATTTAAAATTGTGGATAGAAAGTATATTAAATTTAAGAGAGATAAACCATATCAAATTTTAGAGAGAGAAACTATCTCAAAAATTTTATCGATACACTAACCCAAATTTTGAGTTTTCAAAAGAGAAGTTGTATCAAGTTTTGTTACCAAACAATGGACATGGAAGTGATTGCAAGGAATCCATTAATTTTGTATAGTTTATTTCAAACAAAAAGATTCGAGGAATCCATGAAAAAAATCTTTAATATTGAAAATCCATAAATTTTCTTAGAATTTCAAATATTTAAGATTCTTAATTTCTTCCTATCAAAACGGACCCTAAAATTTTATCAGGTAAAAAAAAACCAAAGAACAAAGTACCCATGGTAGAACACACATAAATTACCGAACCGAGGATGATCATTTGGTGCCATAAGCCCCACCACTCTCCTAATTCAACATTGAACACTAATGTTACTTAGCGGATCTCCTTTGATAACATGGGACGATGTTTATTTAGCAAAAACTACCACTCCAAATTTTAAAGTTTATATGGAGCCGGGGCTCTAATCTAAACAATCAAATTTGAGCCTACCACAAAAATTTCACTCACTAGAAAAGGTTGTTTACTCAACACAGGACAGGAAGCCTTGATGATATTTACCACAATCACATTTACTGATCAAAAGAAAGATGCCAATATATCAGGCATCCTCTCATCAATAGCTTTCCCCATGATTGTGCAATATTTGGATAAAACATTTAAAGAAGAGCCATTTTAAGGTAGAGCGAGATTCAGTGCTTCTTCCATCCAGACAATGTATGATATCACAAAGTTGGAGTTACAGATGGAATTAGCAATATGAAGGGTGCTTCAGCCAATATGGCCCAACACATCCGTAAAACAGTAAAAGTACTCATGTAAGTAAGCAAACCAGGCTCTAAACAATTCACCTTCAAATGGTGTCGAGAAATATAGTTTTAATACTTAAAATTTTTGTGATGGCCTTAAAATATAGTTTCATTTTTAATTATAAAATTTAATGCTTCAAAAATAGTAGTTTAGATTGAGCATATCTATGAAAACTTAAAAATCTTAAAAATTGACCTTCCAAAAATGCATTACAAGATGCACTATCTCACAAATTTGAAATCCATTTTTTTCTCATGTCCATGCAACTTGATGTCAAAATGATCAATTTGAGCATCAAAACAACCTCTTCTAGTGAAACTTTGGAAGTGGGCTCTAGTTTGATTGTTAGAGCCTCGGCTCTATATAAACTTTTTCATATATATATAGAGTAATGATCATATGAGACCTTCCCATACACATGTGTCTAGGACCCCAAAAGATCACCATTAAATTTGACACAGATCTCTAGAAAAGTCAAGTCTCACACCCATATGATAACTTTTTTAGAGATCTGTGTCAAATTTAATAGTGATCCTTTGGGGTCCTACACACATGGGTGTGGGAGGGACTCATAGAATCATTACTGTTATATATATATACATGGAAAATGATCCTACGAGCCAACTGGCTTACAAGAAAAAATGAGTCCAACGCTCAGATTGAATCTAAGCTGATCTGACAATCGCGGATACCCGATAAGTATTTGAATTTTAATATTTTTTATACAAATCCAAATCACTTGAAATTTTAAGTTTGTGTTCATTTTTTCTTGGGAAGGGGAAAAGGGGGGGGAAGAGAGAGACTCAACAAAGAGTTGTTTGCAGGGGGTGAAGTAATGCGTGTGTGTGAAAAGAGAGAGAGAGGCAGCAAAGAGTTGTTTGCATGAGGGAGGGGGTGAACCACAACATTGGTTAATGTCTCCCCAAGCTTGGAGAGACAGCTACAGTGACATGCAGTTGCAAGAGTGTGTAACTAAATGTGTTGCGCTGTTGCATATAAGAGAGAGAGAGCTCTGCAACTGTGTTGCATAATAGAGAGAGAGTCCATGAAATGGAGCTGCATGAAAGAGAAAGCTGCAACTAAATGTGCTGCAAAATAGAGTCAGTGAAAATAGAGTTGCATGAGAGAGAGAGTCTCAATGTCGGTTCTTCTTATCCCCCCAAGTGCCCCTGCCTCACATCAGGGTGGCATAGAGGAGCTCATTCCAAGCATCCGGAACCGCTGGGAGGCACGAATGACTGCAATCTTGAGCCTTATTTTCGTGTTGTTCACTCCCTGTTATTGGGTTCCTGAAAACAGAGGGGTGGCCATCCTTCCTGTAGTCTGTCATCCTTGTGATGTTAAGGTATAAAACCTTAGTCTACATGCTTGAAAGCACCGATTCCAAGATGAATTTAACTGTTGCAAGCTATATGCCTGAATTTAACTGTTTATGTTTAATATGGTTGTGATGTAGATC